TAAATGAGGCTTAAGAATTATGAGTCTGCATGCTAGTCTTTTTTTAATGCTTCCATTAAATGTTTAAGTATAGAAAATCGATTTCAGAATTGCTACACACATTTCAAGAGGGAACGTTTTGACAATTACACTAGTTAAATGCGAGTGATTTAGTTAAAACCGCACTTGAATAATTAAAAAATGGTCCATGCAAACTAAGAATTATGATAATGAAATTGATCGCCGTCTAGAAAATAATATGTAAATGCTGATAGCCATGAAATCCCAAATACCAAATTCACTAAACGATTGAAAAATAGGATAATATACACAATAATAGATTAAATTAAGACTACTCGTTTTCATATATGAATAGCATAGCAAGAAAAGCATGAAACGGAATGTAGATAATTAGCTGTCGAAATAATAGTTCACCAAGAGCCAGATGGAAAAATCGCCAATACATTTTGTCAATCATAGAAGCTCCTATCAATAAAAAAGACCGAGACCTGTTTCCCTACACATTTCCGTAATGTTCTATTAAGATCAGCTTCAATAGATGGATTATTACTATGGAAATATGTGAAGTTTAAACAAGCGACACTTCAGAAATAAATACCAAAATATAACTTTCATTTAGGATGAAATCGGAAAAAAATATATATATAAAGAGAGAGACAGAGAGAGAAGAGAATAAAAAGTGGTTAAGTATACTGGTAAATGGTCTATCGTATTTATAGCCATGCGAATACTATTTTGTATTGATCACAATACAGAAGCTGGCAACTTACGTGGGACGCAGCATACGAATTGCTTGTCTTCACGGGCTAGCAAAGCCTCAGTGATGCGCTCCTTGAGAGGGCCGAACAACACTAAGGGACGAGCCAGACACTCCATCGGCAAACGAACTGGCATTACTTTCTCGTAACTCCGCACTAAAGGAGCGAGGGAAGATAGATCCCCGACTAGCAAAATAAATATCAAATAAGAATGAAATGAAATTCTTATTAGTAATGGACAAGAATAAAGAGCTACAAGGGGAAGTGGGGAATGTGTAGTCACACAAATAAGCAAAGGGATCGCATAAATGATATGTTTTTATTATTTCACACTCATCAACTGATAAACGAGTTCTTTTGTGTCACGAAATTTGGATCCTCGGTGCCATAAAAAGTAGGAAATCTCTTATAACGATATTCTGAATAGGAGACTATAGCATAATGGATTTCTAGACGTTTAGATAGGAATATTAGTTCGAACGTATTTGACAAGTAGTCATTGTTGGTCAATATGTGTTTCATATATTGATGGGAGAACCGAATCAAGGTGAGATCTATCCATGACTTCACTATTCAATAAATTTCAAGGACATTTTAGTCCTAGTAGCGTCTGAGACTAAGCAAAATTTAATTACTTTTTATTTATAGGTAAGGTTTCGAGACTACCAATAAATAAGTTTTATGATGTATCTCCCCTATTTCGTCTACGATGACGAAAATGTAATATATATAAATAATAATGATATAATTTATAACTTCAATGAATTAATATAAGATATAAAATTTGCCCAAATAACGCTAGCAGATTGACAATTTAATAATAAATATACAAATAAAAGGCATGACAAATAATATTAGGGATTCTGATAAAATAATAAAGTAGAAAAAATATTCATTCTTTCTTTCAAACACTTAAATAGCTTGAAGGACACGTATAAGGAAAGATGGCCAAACAGAACAGAGAATGGTAAATTTTCCGACTCATAAAATAAAAAAACAACTTATTTTGAAAACATTTATATAATCTGTATAAAAACTGGTTTTCAAAGAATCCCTTGATATAGTGATACTGAAATAGCATTCATTTCTTCTGAGAAAGGGAGTGGAAAAGATTCGTAAGTTGGTCTCCTCAGAAGTCAAGGGGGGTTGTCTTGGAGCTGTAAAAAGTTTGTGCGAATGAGTCTTCGGTTCGCCGTCCCCTGAGCTCATAAAATTCTCGCTGAGCTTTCGTCAGTCATTTGACAGACATCGCCAGAGCCTATCTTGTCTTTGGGCTTTGGAAACTTTAGTAAAACATGATGTCCTGTTCTGACGATTTCTATAATATGACGAACGAAAGTTCAGCAAGGATTCATTGGGTTCGTGATGTGGTAAACTGGAAACCTATTCGCAAAAATCCATTACAGCTCCAAGACAACCGCCCTTCGAATTCCGGATGCCTTCAACTCGACTTTTCAAACTAAATGAAAGGTACTCTAGCAATTATAAGATTTGTTATAAAAACAAATATATATAAAACCAAGAATGATAAATGATAGAGATATATGAAATTAGTGATAAAATAAAACATTACAAGGCTAAATTTATATTATTTTTTATATCTGACAAAAATATAAAAATAAGAAAGCAAAATACACTAACTAGAAGTAAAAAATCCAACAAATAGGTAAACATTCCCCTTAAATTAATCTTATGGATAAAACTACAGGCTTACCTGAAGCACGATCATGAAGAGTGTCCACAGAACCACTCCTAGGTCCACCTGCTTGGCCAGCCTGAAATCGCCCAGTGGCAGACATGTGTGGACTTCCAGTTTGGCTACAGAGAGGACCAAGACTGGAATCGCGCGCTCGCCTCAGTAAGCTACCTGAAGCTGCTACAGTTCGATTGGAAAATCGTTTGAATAAAGCCCCAGCGCTTCCGGAGCTCAGATGACTAGATTTTTTCCTCTCTAGAGATCCGTCTGTCGAGCAGCTC